TGACAATGTACTTCTCACTTCTGATAACCAAATCAAACTGGCAGACTTAGGACTTGCTACAAGGACTCAGTGTGGATTGGCTACTGGTCACTGTGGAACACGCTTATGCTCGAGCACCAGAAGTCATCAATGGAGGATCTTATACAACAGCGATTGATTGGTGGGGTCTTGGAATTATTTTATACGAGATGGTGATGAACAAACAACCTTTTATGTCAGGTATGTTATTTATTCCTCAAACTCTCCTTCATTTGAGCCTTGCAGTAGCTAACATATCCTTTTATTCTGACAGGCACTGTTGACGGACTAAATGATCAAATTAGAAATGCGGAAGTCGAGTTTTCATCATCTGTTTCTCCTCAGTTCTGTTCACTTGTTAGTTTGTTATTGAAGAAGGATCCTAGTGAGAGATTGGATTGTATAGAAAAGGTTTTGGAGCAGGATTTCTTTAGTGATATGGTTTCTAGTTTATCATATGGGTTTTGATTGATGTTATTTGGAATGGACAGTCTCATTTTTGGTAATCTAAAGGTATGTTATTATTTCCTTGTTTTTTATTTGCTCAAAACTTTATATCATCTTCAAGTCAGGTCACTGACATTCCTTCCTTTTACATCCCCTGTTATTAGGTTCTTATATTTTTGGGGTTGTTGGTCGGTGTTTTTTCATGTTTGGGGTACTTGGTTACTTGTATGGATTTAGTGATATGGTTTCTAGTTCATCATATGGGTTTTGATTAATGTTATTTGGAATGGACAGTCTCATTTTTTGTCATCTAAGGTATGTTATCATTTCCTTGTTTTTCTTTCGCTTGTGAACTTTATATCATCTTCATGTCAGGCGACTGATGTTCTGTCTTCGTCTACGTCCTCTGTTTTTAGGTTCTTGTATTTTTGGGCTCGTTGGTTGCTGTTTTTTGATTTTGAGATTCTTGGCTTCTTTCATGGATTACAATACATATACCACCACATTCAATACACACAACCATGTTGTGTTTATAACGTCTATAATTTTGAAATCCTTCAATGCATCCCTGGAGTAATTTCAACATGATTCCTTAAATTGAAAATTCCACACCTGAATGTGTGTTCAATTTGCCGTGCTCTCCAAAATATTCTCTCGATTCTACCGTGTGTATCCTTGATGCATAAAACCAGTTGGTGCCCTGAACGAGACTCTCTTTCTCCCGCGCATGAGACTCATTCAGCTTCCAGATAAGATTCCTGAAGTTGAAAGATCGCAAAAACTTGATCAAGCACATTGGGCCAGAGAAAGAATCGAGTCTCCCTACACATTGGAAGGCTGGCAAGTAATATGTCTGTTCAATTACTTCCATGGAACTCACTTTTCCTCATGATTCAGTATCTTGTTCTATGGATCCATCCATTGCAATGATAAGCCATAGCTCTACCCATATATCCTTCCACCATGATATTGGTCAATTGAAATTTTCAACCGCCTACTGTTCACACTATTTCAGCCAAACATATCACATTGTGGACCAAGAAATCATACTCATCCTCTCAAGTACACCTGTCAGTGAGCTCTATAAAGTAAACAATCAAAGGGGGCACAGTTTCAATCATTGCTTCCTGGCTTTCTGTGAGGAGCAGAGGGTACAGAGCGCTAATGTATAGCAAAATGACAGCATCATTGAGCTCCCTTCAACTTACAGATAGGCTCATGGCAGTTCCCTTACAGTCCTCAACGTCTCATATGCTGCAATTTTGTTTTTTCCCAATGGGGATTTGCAGTACCCATTCTATGCTCCAAGCCCTGGTTGATTCCAGAAATCCTTGTGTTATTAAAGGTGAAGAATTGGATGTACATTTTGAGATTCTGTTATTTCTCTCCATAGACACATAGTTAAATCCACGGGATATCCAAAATATTGCGCAGTGGGAGTTAGGTTTGATTCAACTTGAGAAATCAATGAGCCCTGATTTTTGGGAGCATCAGGGTTTTGTATTTGCTGTGATAATTATCACCAAAATTACACGCAGACATTACACAATGTATGACAGCCTTGTATGCAAGGAGCTGTATACACATAAGCTGCGCGCGGGGCCCAAGCACCAAACATTCTACCTCTTCCAACCCATAGTGGTGTGTATCTGGCATGTCCCAGACATGTTTTTTCTTGTTTCTTTTTTGTCAACTTTCCTCTTTGGAAAGAGCAATTTTTTATGGGGAGGGGGAATTTTACACAGACACATTTACACCAAATGTTTTGGTGTAAAAAAGATACAGTGCAAAATTATTATCACCTCCCCTAACTTCAAATTTTACACATGGATCTATTTTTTTTGATGTGTAAAAAATTTCAGCGCAAAAGTTACGGTGTAAAATTATGGAGGGCGGTCAGAATTTACAATTTTGCACCAGAAAAAAACACTGGATTATCCGGTGCAAGGAAATCTGGTGCAAAATTGTGGGAGCCTTGTAAAATTTGAAATTTACACATGACTCTCACACCAAGCACGTGGCTTTTACGCCGAGTCCATGACACCAAAGGAAATCCGGTGTAATTCCCTCAGTGCATTATTACCACTTTGGTACTCAAATTTGAATTTTGCACCGACCTCTCTTACACCACCCACCTTTCCTACCTCCCTTTGGGAGATGATTGATCTACAAAAATATCATTGAATTTCAGGCTTTACATGGCCCAAATAGAAAGCATTCCCACAACATACCGTGGAAGCAGGGTGAAGGATATTCCACCCCGTTAAGATATGTTTGAAAGGGAACAATATCTTCAAAAAGGGATAACAAATGGCTGTCATCCACCATCTAATCATAAATACATCGTAAGGATCTATCCTAAATCAACCTCTTTCGATCATTTCAAGGAAGAGTTACTTTGATTGATTGAAAGAATACGTACTTCACATTATTGATCACTCAACCAATATCAGCCCTTATGAGCAAGATGGGGCAGGTCTCATCACGACCTGGACCTGCTGGCAGTGCACTGAAGCCTTTCCAGATGAGAGCAGGATCCAATGTGATGATAACAAGCAGCTGTCCATGACTCTTATCCCTCAACCACCTCTTTACAAGTCAGTCCACCATTACAATTTCTCTTCTAAATCATCAGACTGTTGTGAATCATGTTCTCAAATCACTGCACCGTATATAGTTCTTACAAGCCAATCATTAGATGATAGCATACCCTATCTAGTGTTTTCTTCGATGTCAGACACATACAAACCGAAGTGATAGTGGTTATGGAGACTCTGACTTGGTTGCTTCCCTTGATAGTATCATCATCCCAGAAACTTCAGTCCCACTATAACGCCCC